TCACTATTTAATAAATAAAGAAATAAGCTTTATTAAAATTAAAACTGAAAACTATCTTAATTGATATAATTTATTTACAACAATTAATAAATTTATCTTATTACTTTTCACATAAGAAAGTATTCTTACATTAATTTAATAATCAAAAAAAAATTTTAGAAATAATTATTTATTATATAAAATCAATCTGTTATTTATTTAATATTTGTTTAATATCAAAAAGATACAAAATTTGTACAAAAAGTATTAAATAATATAATAATAGATTATTTCTCAAAAAATTATATAAAGTAATCTTATAATAATATTTAATATTAAATTTTTATTTTGTAAATTAACTAATTTATTTTCTTATTTAACTAAAAAAATTTTTAAAACAATTAACAAAATATTTGCTTTTTGAAAGAGCAAAATTTTAATGAAATAATCAATATTATCTTTCAATAATTTATTATTAATAAAATAATTAGACAATAAAATATATATAAAATTTATTATAATATTAAATAATAGCAAATTTAATTATATATAAAAATTAATAATATTATTACTAAAATATTATATTATAAAATTATTTATACTGTATTTTTAATATATTAACTAAATAATAATATAGAATAAAAAACTCAAGTTATTTGAATATTAATTGATATAATTAAAAGTTATAATTATAATATTATTCAGTTACAAAAATATTATCATCTTGAAAGATTATATCAAAATATTTTTAAATAATATTAAAACAAACTTATAGTACTCAAGTATAATTTTGAAAAAAAATGTAAAACTTGAACATTTAATAATTATCTTAAAATTATTAAGTATACTTGGCAAATATTCACCAAAATTGGATTACAAAGACTTAACAAAATATTAATATTACTCTGCTACAAATTGGAAAATTGATTAATTCTGAATTTGAAGAAGTTATCAAATGTATTTAATTTTTTATTGGAGCTCAGACTTCTTCAAAAGACAAATAATATTATTATTTATAACAAAATTTAATAATTTTTATGATGTCATAAATTACAATATATCATAATTTTATCCAATAATATTTATATTAATTTGATACTTTTTTAATATTATACAAACAAGTTTTATATTTATTTAATATTACAAGTCAAATTTAATATTATATAATTATATTTTTATGAATATCTCTTTTTTATTGATAATTAAATTAATTATCAATAAATTGCATTTTTTTATATATTTTTTAATAATTATCTTTATTTCTTCTTATTTTTTACTTATTTTATATTATTGCTATTGGTATATCTTATTTTTAACAAAAATATTCTTAATTTAAATTTTATTATCCTTAACCAATTATATTTTATTTCTAATTTGTATCTTTATTTTCATTAATATTTTTATTTTTATCTTTAATATTATTATTTCTTATGATTTATCTCATATTATTTAATTTTTTTAGAATTTTTCTTTTTATTATTTTCTTATGATTTCTCTTATTTTTAATTTATATTAATTTTATTTTGTATTTTTCTCTTATCTTGTGTAATTTCTTATTTAATTTTGATTTTTGTTCTTTTTAGTATTATCTGTAAATAATAGTATAATTTAGAATCATTATTAATCATGTAAATCAAAGTAACTATTGAAAATGTATAAAAGAAGAATCTCTCACCACTAGAAACTCTCATGCTTTGTTTTAATAAAAATAACAAAGTTCTTACTTGTAATATTATACTTGTAAATACACTATTATTTTCTTAATTATCTTCAAATCTTGACTCCAAGTAGTGGATGTTTCTCCACTCTAAATAAGCTGTTGTTATAAGTAAGTTTTTGGAGGGGTAGTACTAAATTAATGTGAATAATATTATGCCAAGGTAACTAAACTCAGTCATAATATGGGTTTATTAGCTAATGAATATTGTTTTATTATTACTAAAAGATATTGTGGATCTTCTTAGTTTAGATATATTCTAAGTGTACTTTATATCCTTATTGATGTGATTAAAATAAATTAAATTAATTAATATAATAAAATAATTATGTACAAGGTGTTATTTGTAAAGGAATTAATTAGATTTCAAGTTTTATTGATTTTGATACAATAACTTTATAGGTGTTGTTCAATGTCTAAAAGAGTAACGAACCCAAGATTGTTTAACATTAACGTTGAGTAACACACATTTGCATCATGTAACAACTTCAATTTTATACTGCTCAACACAATAATGTATACCGATACATGTATAGCATTTATGGTTAGAATGTCATAATGCCAAATTATTAATGTTAACATTAAATGAAATTATATTTACATGTAATTTGTAAAGCCATTATTTAGTACATAGCGATAGTTTTTGTTCAATTGTTTTATATATGGCCTTTCTATTTCGCATTGAATATATTTATACGACATATTGTGTGATAAATTTGGGGACAGTATAAATCATCAACACAGGTTGGATTTTAAAGTTTATAACTCGTATTCTATACATGAAACAAAAAATCCTCTTTAGCCAAATTGTAGCTGGGTCAAATGGTTACAATTTGGCTAAAGAGGATATTTTGTTGCACGCATAGAACACAAGTTATAACATTTAAAATCCAACCTGTGTTGATGATTTATGCTGTCCCCATTGTATTTCTTGGAAGTAAAGATAAAAGAGGGTGATGACAGATCCTATTTTAATAAAATATACAAATATAGTAAAAAAAATGCAAGTAATATTCAAAATCTTTGGTAAATTATACATACTTGTTGATTATGTATGTGTTCCTATAACGATAACGATAATTATTTACCATTTCAGGTTTATCGTTATATGATATTAATTCAGATTATTAAAAATGTTACCTGATTGAATGTTTAATTAGCGTTAGGATACCTACCGCTACTGTTATTTATCATTATGAATAAAATAATAACAAAATAGACAATTTAACAAATTCAAACTTTCAATTTACCTGATATCAAGGCTTAACGTTAAGGATTTAACTAGCGTTACTATCATTGATTCGATCTTCATGATAAATTCTGTAATCTCTACATTATGAAGATCAATAATAATTATATAAAATCTGCATCGAAAGAACTGGAGGTACGCAATTGGGGTCAAACTTTTAAATTGACGATCGAACCGTTTGCAAAAGAGGAGGATGTATGGAATATGGTATCTGATTATAATTTGTTTATCGCTATTGTATTTTTTCGAAAATCAGCCTTCTTTACTTTTAATGCAATCAATCATTAGTAATGGTCGCGCCATTCTTGGGAGTACTCGATAGTGACGATGAAGACGACGACGACGATATTTTCGGTCGCAAACTCGATCGAATTCACAATAACCATCATCAACACAAAACTGAACCGTTAGAAATCGTTGCACAAGTTTCGCCAGAATTTTCGCGAAGATGTTTAGCAGTTCTAAGGGCGATAACGACGACCATCAACATCATAATCTCCTACGCCGACGAATGGAATACAGTTCCAAAAAGAATAAAGAACATCAAACACAAAATATGGACGAGTATTTCGATTTAAACTTATGTCGCTAGATGTGCACGCCAAGACTACTATGTACTTTGTTATTTCATAGATGAACATACTTGTAGAAAACTGATTGACATTGTGACATATTTTTGATTTTTATGCTATCATTTATTAATTTAATATATAATGAAGACTACGTAATTACATGTATATAGTGTTCGATATAGTAAATGGATTTTTTACTAATAGATTTTTTTGATATGTGTTTTGTTAAACAGTTATCGTTATAGAAGAAAATTTTTTACCTATGTATGTACTTTGACATATCCCAAGAGTCATTCAATCTCGTTTTCTTTTGTTAGTCGCGACATTCTTTTCCTTGGCAGAATTTGTATAAGTGGCATGTGTAATGGTGGTCTTTGCATGGTCACGAGGTCGTTTTAGAACATTTTCGATAGGCTTGACGACACTGAATCTTGCACGATTTGTAGCAGCGATATCTAATTCGTCATTGTCGTCGGCCATTTCAACATCATCGTCTGATGCAGAGTCGGTCATTTCAACATCATTGTCGTATTCTGGTGCAGAGTCAGTCGTTTCGTTCTCTGAACTTTCCACTTCCCATATTAAAAGAGAAGTTCCATCGGTCTTCTTTGTAATGGATGTTAAAATACCTAAATTCACAAATGCTTTTACGTCCTCACAAATGGTTTGATTTTCACTAAGAAAGCGAGGCTTTTTGGTGGGTGGTTCACAAATATCTTTCTGAACATTATTGTTGAGGAAGTTAGGATTGCCCAGACGGAGTTTTTCTTCAAACGGGAGTTTTTTTGTGGATGGTTCGCGAATATCTTTCTGGACATTATTATCGAGGAAGCTATGTTTTTCAGTGAGTGGTTTACGAAGACCTTCCTCGAACGGGCGTTTTTTGGTGGACGGTTCGCGAATATCTTTCCGAACATTATTATTGAGGAGGCTGTGATTGTTCAAAAGAAGTTTTTCAGTGAGTGGTTCACGAAGACCTTCCTCAAACGGACGTTTTTTGGTGGACGGTTCGCGAATATCTTTCCGAACATTATTATTGAGGAGGCTATGATTGTTCAAATGAAGTTTTTCAGCGAGTGGTTCACGAAGACCTTCCTCGAACGGGCGTTTTTTGGTGGACTGTTCGCGAATATCTTTCCGAACATTATTATTGAGGAGGCTATGATTGTTCAAACGAAGTTTTTCAATGAGTGGTTCACGAAGACCTTCCTCAAACGGGAGTTTTTGAGTGGACGGTTCGCGAATATCTTTCTGAACATTATTATCGATGAAGGTATGATTGTCCAAACGGAGTGGTTCACGGAGACCTTCCTCAAACGGGAGTTTTTTGGTGGGTGATTCACAAGTATTTTTCTGAACATTCTTATCGAGGAAACTATGATTGTTCAAACGGAGTTTTTCGGTGAGTGGTTCACGAAGACCTTCCTCAAACGTGTTTTTTAGTGGATGGCTCGCGAATATCTTCCTTAATCTTCTTTTAAAAAAGAAGGTTGAGATAGATATTTGTGAAACATCCACTAAAACCCGTTTGTACAGAATGAAAGTGCTCTCACTTACTTTTTAGTTTCATTAATTGTTTGAAGACACTGATCATTTAAATTGCGGCAAGCCTCGAAATTTGTGGTTTTTTGGCTCGCCATTTTTTCCTTATGCGTCCTCAACATACTTTCAACACCTTCCTTACTGCCTAATAACTTAAGTCTTAAACTAACGATAAGAAATTTATCTTCTTTTTGAAAGAGCGACGCCTCATCGTGTAACGTTTTCCCACTACTAGTTACGAGACGTTGGTTATCGGTTGAAATGAAGATACGCGACGCAATAACGTTTTTCAAGTCTCGGACGGTAACTGGTATACTCGAATTAAATTGTATACACAGCGGAGAAAGGTTTCCGAATAGGTTTACGATGACTTGACGGCTGGTGATTGCTTCCATGCTTTTTGTAATTAAATGGTTTTTTGTGTTAAGCGAGATTGGGTGGGATATCTGTGTCAAGAGAAAATTTTTCAGAAAAATTGGATGGGATATCTGTGTCAAGAGAAAATTTTTCAGAGAAATTGAGATATCTGTGTCAAGAGAAAAATTTTCAGATATTGTTGAGTTGGATGTGTTAACGTTAAATATCGTTATTTTAAATTATACTATCACCGATAGGGAAATTGATAAACTAAGTCACACTCATTTTTTTCCCGTGAAAGTCTAACGAGACGAAAAAATTTGAAAAATCCGCACCATTAACATATTAATATCGATAGCATAGTTGTCATGATATTATAAGCATTTGCTAAAGAAATTTTTTATTATTTGCTTTACTGTAGAGTATATTTTTTTATAAAGCAGATCTGATTATTCACTAAATGCGCATTTGAGGAGTTAACGACTATGTGAGTTTTTTGCTACACTTGTCTTGTCTGTTACGCTTCATTAAAAAAAATGGGTGGCGTTCCTTGGAATTCATGTGTCACTAACAGTAATCATTTACATCATGATAACATAATGATACAATAATCGAGTCAATGTTTAATCAACTACTTTTTTTCAAGAACATTAATAATTATTATTTGGCATTAAGTAAGATATTTACACTATAGTGTAAATATCTTACTTAATGCCTATTATTTTTATTAAACCATGTATATAGAGTTTTGTCCGAACATATCAACCATAGGAAATCGAACTGATATTTAATAAAAAGTTTACTCCAATCGATGATCAAAGATAATTTATACACCTGTTCAAACTACAATGATCTCTATAACGATAAGAATAAGTAATAAGACTAATTGTCTAGTTTATGGTAATAAGGCTTCGTAGTAATCAGCTGTTAATGCATTTGAAAAATTCGCACCATTAACATATTAATATCGATAGCATAGTTGTCATGAATTAATTACATTATCACAGATATTATAAGATTTGCTAAAGAAATTTTTATTATTTGCCTTACTTCAAAGAAAATACTACCAACAACTGTAAATTATATTTTTTTTATAAAGCAGATCTGATTATTCACTAAATGCGCATTTGAGGAGTTAACGACTATGTGAGTTTTTTTGCTACACTTGTCTTGTCTATTACGCCTCATTAAAAAAAAATGGGTGGCGTACCTTGGAAATCATGTGTCACTAACATCAATCATTTACATCATGATAACATAATGATACAATAATCGAGTCAATGTTTAATAAACTACTTTTATTTTTATTAAACCATGTATACAGAGTTTTGTCCGAACATATCAACCATAGGAAATCGAATGTCTTCAAACATGTACAGTATATATAAACTGATGTTTAATAAAAAGTTTACTCCAATCGATGATCTAATAGGCAATAAAGATAATTTATACACCTGTTCAAACTAAAATGATCTCTATAACGATAAGAATAAGTAATATAACTAATTGTCCAGTTTATGGTAATAAGGCTTCGTAGTAATCAGCTGTTAATGCATTTTTTCCTCTCTCAACACACTCACACGCAAAATCCCATTTAATTTTTTTCGTCTCTCATCACAAAGCCCAATTAAGAAAAAAAATCTCCCTCAAAATCATTGATCAGGATGACTTTAGTTATTATAATTATGCAGTATAATAAGACTACGTAAACTATTCTTTGACATTCTATCAGATCATCTGTGAGTGATAATTACGTTATTGCTACAGCTGATGCAAATGATAGAATGATAAGAGATAATATTATCAATACAAGAAACTGGTTTAGAATACAATTATTTAGTCAAAGACAATATAAAAGAAACTCACACACTAGCGTAAAACGCACAAGTTTCTTTTCAATTATCTCTTATCTTACTAGAAATACAAATGTTATCCCTTTTACAAAACGCAATAATTCTCATTTCTATATCCATTCCTTTCATTGACTTCGCCGTATACATTCATCTAATATTCCATTAAAACATAAGAGATTCGACGCTTCGATGGCTTGCTTGCTGCGATGGTTGGGGCAGTATAGCTGATCTTTTTGTATATAGCATTAAAGCATCGTTTTTAGTTTGATAATTTCCTTTGACATATTAACTCACTAATTTCGTCGCAAACATCGCATCGTATCATTAATTTCGCCGCAAGCTTATTTCCCCAAAAACGCGCTTCATGACCTTAACATCATTACAACATTAACATCATTACGAGACCAACATCATGTTAACATAATTACGAAATCAACATCACAGCATTAACATCATGATACTAACATCACAACATTAACATTATGACATTAACATTATGACATCACGAATACATGTCATTGGTCAAATGATTTTATTTAATCCTTATGGAATGTAATTAACATTGGACTTGTAATATACATGAACGTTATAATTATGCACGGACTTTTCGTAGATAGATTGTAACATACATGAACTTATCATAGATTGATTTTAAATATACATGGACTTTTCGTAGATAGTATCATGATAGGTTAGCCAGAATGCTAAGTATTAATATCTCAAACTCGGAATTTTTTGAAAAGGAATAAATTCCGTCAAGCAAAAATTTTCCCGGAATCTCACAAAATGCGACGGAAAATTAGAATATAATTCATGCCCTGGATAGTATATTGTACTGCAAAACTTGCAATATTCAAATAAAGATAAAATAAATTTTTGCTAATTATTACTAGCAATCAAATTTTTATTTATGTGGATACAGTTCATTTCAAAAAATTGGTCCACAAAGTTATGACGAAATGCTAAAATTATAGCGATTAAGAACTCCCGTTAAACCGACCATACTTTTCTTCGATTTAATTATATATTTTAATATAAATAAAATATGTGACTATTATACTTATTTATTTAAAGATACATACATAGTCAACTCTCATTAAATCAAAATTTGAACTGAACTTGAACCAGACTTTGACTTGAGTTCAAAAAGATTTGAAGTTTGAATTGAACTGGAACTGAATCATTGTATGAGTTTGAGTCTCATTCAAGTTTGATTTGAGATCAGTATATAGTATATAACTCTAAATATGAATTACAACTTTGCATAT